CTCATGGGCCCCCTGGACCTCCACCGACGTCAACTCCAACTCCGTATATTCCGTCTCGGGGAGAAAAAATCAGATAGAAAGTTTCATCGCGTTTTACGACACAGAGCCCCCGCCAAGCCCTAATCTCTCTCAGGAGAGCTGATCTGGAGTCCGTTCGGGGCTCCGGAGAGGGCGATTCGTCACCGTCGTCATTATCAACCATCCTCCATCACCAATTTCATGATGTTCACCGCCGTGCGCGAGTAATTTCATCGTAGGTTTGCTGGACGGTGATGGGTTGGATGAGATTTACCATGTAATCAAGTTAGTTTTGTTAGGTTGATCCCTAGTATCCACTATGTTCTAAGATTGATGTTGCTATGACTTTGCTCAGCTTAATGCTTGTCACTAGGGCCCGAGTGCCATGATTTTAGATCTGAACCTATTATGTTTTCATGAACATATGTGTGTTCTCGATCCTGTCTTGCAAGTCTATAGTCACCTATTATGTGTTATGATCTGACAACCCTGAAGTGACAATAATCGGGATACTTCTCGGTGATGACCGTAGTTTGAGGAGTTCATGTATTCACTATGTGTTAATGCTTTGGTCTGGTTCTCTATTAGAAGGAGGCTTTAATATCCCTTAGTTTCCGCTAGGACCCCGCTGCCACGAGAGGGTAGGACAAAAGATGTCATACAAGTTCTTTTCCATAAGCACGTATGACTATTTATGGAATACATGCCTACATTATATTGATGAATTGGAGCTAGTTCTATATCACCCTATGTTATAACTATTGCATGAGGAATCGCATCCGGCATAACTATCCATCACTGATCCATTGCCTACGAGCTTTTCATATTTTTTCTCCGCTTATTTACTTTTCCATTGCTATTGTTACGACTGCTACAAAAAACCCCAAAACATTTATCTTTACTTTTGCTACTGTTACCATTATTATCATACCACTTTTGCTACTAAATACTTTGCTGCAGATACTAAGTTATCCACGTGTGGTTGAATTGACAACTCAACTGCTAATACTCAGGAATATTCTTTGGCTCCCCTTGTGTCGAATCAATAAATTTGGGTTGTACTTCACCCTCGAAAGCTGTTGCGATCCTCTACACTTGTGGGTTATCAGTGACCCCTTCAGGTGTGTCTCTCCTTATGCCCGCACTGACGCAGCCTCTTGTTGAAGGCTTTCAGCTGTCCCAACGCGTCCTCGAACGCCATTGTGTCGACGTCACAGAACTGCTCGATCCCGGCCGCCGCCGGGTACAGGCGGTTCGGCACCTAGTCGAGGAGTTTCTTGACCAGTGCCGCGTCCTCCAGGGTCGATCCCAACGCCGCGTAGCGAGCCACCATGCCACCGAGCCTGCCGGCGAAGTCATCCAGGGTCTCGGCGTCCGCTATGCGCAGGAGCTCAAACTCCCCGCGTAGCGTGCCCAACGGAGTCGCCCTGACGCGATCGGCGCCGACGAAGCGCGCCTTGAGGCTGGCCCAGACCTCCGCTGCCGTCTTCTTCGAGGCCACCTGGAGCAGCAGGTTTTCCGCGAGCGCGCCGAGCAGGTATGCCCTCGCCGGCTCGTCCTTCTTGGCGATCACGGCCGCCGCTGCGTCCTCCGACACGACCACTGCCTCCCACATCCCAGCCGCGTCGAGGTTCGCCTCGACCTTGATGGCCCACGCGTGTAGTTGTCGCCGGTGAGCTGCAACACCGACTGCGGCAGCGATCGGCCCGCTCCGCCGCCGTACTGGACGATCGACATCGCCGGCGCGCCCTGACCTGAACGTGGCTCTGATGAGAACTATTGAAACTGCCACTCCCTCGCCGTGGCTCTCCTCTCCCTCTCGCTCAGCTCACTCTGGCTTGCCGTGGCTCGATCAGAAAAGAGAGGAAGAAGTTCAGAGAAGTGGTGGACACAGTGGTTTTGCCGGCGCACGAACGCCTCCTTGTTTCCTTGAGCATGAACTCGACCGTGTCACAGTGTTACAACGCTACCGCGCGGCTTTATACCCCGAGCCAGCGCACCGGGCATGCACCCACGCCTCCACTCGCACCCTGATTGTGCCCGCGCTCTCCGTGTTCTGACTGCGCCCGTGCCGCCCCCGAACGCGCGTTTCTCGTGGTGAGCCTCACTGGATTGCGCCCGATCGGCCCGCACGGCTCGCCAACAGACTCGCACACACACGCACGCCTACGGTGTACACTTGCATGATCACCCCGTGCACCACACGCACGCACGCACACACAGACACCCGCGGCCCCGACGCGCCCTACCTGGCCAGCTCGCGCCCATACACGCGCTGGTCACGTCTAGTGCGTCGCCGCGGCTTATTCTCCCAACATCTTGAACCTGGACACTGAGGTAGATATTCATTAGCCCGGTTGGTTGGCTATTTGATCAAGCAAAAAGAGGAGTAAACGTCAACATCAGCCAGCAATTGGATGGCAGCGGGCAACCGGAGCATTCTCCCCAGCCCTCATTTCTGCGGATGCTCAACCTGAGCTTCAATTGACTCCACAGGGAGATTCCGGCACCGCCTGCAGAAGCTCGGCTTGAGTGACAACTCCTTCTGGCACAAGCATGACCGTAATCAGACTGCACGACAACAAGCTGGGTGAGGGGGCCTTTTTCTCTAAACAAGAAAACTACGAGCAACCTTTCGGAAGGTCATTACACCAAAACACCAAATGATTTTTATTTTTTGTCTTTATTATAAGATATTTTAACTTTTTCAGAATCGGATGTATTTAGGCGTGTTTTACTGTGGTTGTTCACTCATTTGAGTTTGTATGTGGTTCATATTGAATTATCCAAAACATCTTATAGTAGTGAACCGAGAGAGTATGTAATATGCTGACACCTATTTTTGCTGAAGTGCTATTGCACAACGCTGGGATGATTTTACATCATTTTACATTACATTTATCTGATATGGCGCAACAAACTGGCCCCGATAACAAGCAAATGCTTGCTAACTGAACTAGTATGTGTTATTCTTTCTTAGAAAAGGAGGATGACCCCCGGCCTCTGCATCTGGACGATGCATGCAGCCACTTTATTAATTGTTCACACAAGACCGTACAATGTCATACAACAGTAAGACTAAAGCCACCATCTAGACAACATCTGTCGCTACTCCTAACCAGTTGATGAAGGGGCGCTGATAGTCTCGGCCTAATACCAAACTGACCTCGCATCTAAACCTAACATCTAAGACCTGAGGTGCCAACCAGGACGCCTGCCGGGTATGGGGCACCCACCAGTCCGGCTCACTTCTCAATCAGGACGCCTGCCGGCTATGGGGAACCCACCAGTCCGGTGCACTCCTCAATCAGGATGCCTGCCGAGTATGAGGCCGCCGCACCCACCTGCCACCAATCCATTTTCAGTGTTGTACTGTTGCATCAACCTTGCCCGGTCTCGCTGCCATCAACACCACCATGGCGCCAGACAGCTCCACCGCCCTGCGCTCGTCCATCCAGCTGCATCAGTCGTCAATATGCAGCTGCACCATGCCGCCAATACTCGTCGTCATCGACGCGGTAGATACAACGCCGCTCCTCCTGCCAACCTGCACACCGTCGCCGCTGTTGGAGCTACGCGGAGTCCACCACCCCTAGCACCTCTCCCCGAACCACAGAGCCTCCCAAGAGGGCAACACCATGGAGGTTACGACATGCAAGACGCCGCCGCCGCCCAATCCAATCTGAATTTAGGACTTTCGTCCGAGAGGTATTCGGAGGTGGATAGGAGGGACCTCAGCTTTGCCTCTAGGAAGGGTAACGACGTTTGAGGGACGTCGCCGATGCCGGGCCGGTCCAGCCGACCAAAGTTTCCTTCAGTCCTCATCCTATACCACCAACCTTCGTCTGCTCCAGATCCGGCAGCGAGCCAAGAACCGAAACTAACATAGATGAGATTGCCAGGGGTAGAGAAGACATCCGTTGTAGATATCCAGCCATCGAATCAGACGATCCGACGTAGCCAGCAGCGAAGAACACCACCCCGCGCCGACCGACCGTGTCCAGCATCAGATTGAGATCCGATCTGAACCCGGCGGCACCCGCAACCTCCTGCCGCGTAGCCATCACCACACACCGCGATGGGATCTCGCCGCCGCCACCGCACCGCGCAAAACGTCGACAAGGGAAGCCCAGCCGCCGCGCCGCCAGACCCCACGCAAACCCAGCGGCTCCTCGCAATCCAGCCGTCCCGCGCCGGTGGAGATGCTTGAAGGGGAAGAAATCCCGCCGCCGACCTGCCGGTTAGGCTTTGCCTGGTGGCGCTGCGGACGGCGGCGAGGAGGGTGGAAGGCGGGAGGACTTGAGGGGGAGTGCGACTAGGGTTTCCCCCCGGGTCGCCCACGGGGGCGGCGCGAGGGGGACGTGGGGGAAGAGGAAAGAAATGCCTCGCGGTATGTGTTATTGCAGGATCATATTGCTCCAGCTCGAATGTCTCAGGCGGAGGCTCCCCTTTTGCTCCATCCTCCATGCTCACGGACAAGCAGGAGGTACGCATCTAGAACTTCTCAAGTATTGTGCCAACATTTTCAGGCTTCACTTTCCTTATACAAACAAATAAATTGGGATCATTTGCTTGGAAAAATATAAGAAAACGAAAAAAGAACTTTTCAAACTCTCTAGAACTTCAAGTCTACTACTTTAATTGAAGCATGAAGTAAAAATATTGTTTGTATGATTACACTTTTGAAAAATGGAAAACAATTTAACTGCTTGATTTCTGTACTATTATTACAGAACCCCATGGTTGTGCATTTATTTAATACAATTTTAGAGCAACATAGTGTTGAGAACGATTATGAATTGAAATGATACATAATTTTATTATTATGAAGGATCATGTATTGTACCAGCTTGTTTATTCAACAATGCTCTGAATTTCTCGAGTCGAGGCCTCTCTTTCTGCTCCTTGCTCGCCTGTAAATTTCAGGTACGTATCTCTGATTGCGTGCATCTCAGCCGCTGCATCTCTTGTCAATGCTCGGTCTCGAGGTTGTTGCTTAGAGCAGGATATGCCAAGCCTGAAGACCGAGACCAAGCATTCCTGGATTCTGATACTTGCAGTGTTATCATGTTGTCCGCCATGCAGCCACACTGTTGGGTCAGCTATCTCAAAGGTTCTATCTTGAAGAGCATCCTCGACAAACCTGTGCAGATCAAATGAATCTCCGAACATGCCTTCTGTTGGGCTCCTTCCGGTAGACATCTCAAGCAGCAATATGCCAAGACTATAAATGTCACCGGCTGTCGAGACCGAAGAGCCTTCTCTGTATTCTGCGATTATGCAAAGTTCTGTGGTTAGCACGACATATTCATGTGAAAAGTAAAATACAAAGGTAGAAGAGTTTCAGTCACCTGGAGCAACATAGCCTATGGAACCCTTAATTCCAGTTGAGCTATATGAAGTTTGCATCCCTTCGCTTGTATTCTCTTGAAGAACTCTTGATATGCCAAAGTCTCCAATTCGTGCACTCATGTCTTCATCAAGAAGAATGTTGCTTGGCTTAAGATCGCAATGGATCACCAATGGCTGACAGTAGTTGTGCAGATATTCTACTGCACCAACAATATCAACAGCAATATCAAGCCTCTGGGCCAGGCTGAGAGTGTTGTCTATAGTGGGCTCTTGATATCCTGGATGAAGCCAACTATCCAAGTTACCGTTCAGCATGAACTCAAAAACCAATGCCTTGAACTCTTGACCTTGGTGGTTGATGCTCGAACAAGATGTAATGATCTTGATGAGACAACGATGTCGTATCCTTCTCATGGCCTCACATTCAGCATCAAAACTCTTGGAATACCTAGATTGACCAAGATTAAACACCTTGACAGCCAATGTTCTTTCTTCAGTGTCCAAATCACACTTATAAACCGCACCATAACTTCCTCTCCCAAGTAAGTTGGCTTCTGAAAACTCATTAGTTCCTCTCAATAATGCATGATAGGGGATTCTCCTGTAATTCTGATCGCCAATTGAATTTTGTGCTGATGTCTTCTGTCTTGGTTTGAGCTTTTTGCAAAGTATCCAAACAAGAAGAGTGACTGAAAGTGAGAACAAGATTGCTCCGGCTGTCACTAGAGAAATATCTAGAGACTTTGGCATCTTATTTTTAATATTGCTTGAGGAGCTTGTGGAGCATGGAGTCAAATGAAGTTGAGGTGTACCACCACACAAATTTATATTCCCAACAACTGCTAAGTTAGTGATGTTTCTGAAAACACCTTCATTTGGCACCTCGCCTTGCAAATTATTGAAGGATACATCCAATTTGGACAATGATGTCAAATTCTGTAGAACCATTGGGATTGACCCTGACAAGTTGTTGTGTGCTAGGTATAGTTCCTGCAAGCTTCCAATACTGCCAAGGGCATCAGGAATATCACCAGAGAACTTATTCATGGACAGGTTCAGTTTACTGAGCCCCTTTATATTCGTCAGTGACAGAGGTATGCTTCCTTCAAAAGAATTATTGTCTAATAGTAACGATTCCAACACTATGCAATTCTGAATACTGTCGGGTATCTTGCCAGACAACCGGTTTCCTGATAGGATCAGTTGGTTAAGGTTTGCCAAGCTGCCAATTTCATTAGGAAGGGGTCCAGAAAGGGAATTGTATGAGAAGTCCAAATACCAAGAAAGGCTGGGTTATTTGAAAATCACTATGGGTATTGAACCATTAAGATGATAATTCGTTGAAAAATCAAGTACAAAGAGGTTTTTCAACTCCCCCAGGCTTGCCGGAATTGGGCCCTCCAAGTTGCCATAATATGCATAGAGCCTATTCAACTGTGGAAGGTTTCCTAGGGATGAAGGTATAAAGCCAGACAAGCTATTATTATGCAAGTCTAGCTCGATCAAGTTCTCCAGCTTACCGATACTCTCTGGTATCACTCCGGATATGTAATTATTTGCTAGGCCAAGCAAGTTGAGACCAATCAAATTACCTATATCTGCAGGAATACTCCCAGAGACCTTACTGTCCATTAAGTATAAGTTTTGGAGAGTCGTTGAGAGGTTCACAATCGATCCAGGTATTTTTCCTTTGAAGGAGTCACCTCCGAGTTCTAAGACATGCAGTTGGCTGCAGTTTGCCAAAGAAGTGACAAATTCCCACCCCTTATTTTCATTTGTTTCAAGCTTATTGTCTGCCAAGTATAGATATTGGAGAGCTCCTTGCGTTCCCAGTGTGGAGGGCACATACCCACTAAATATGTTGTACTCGAGAACAAGTCCTTTGAGGTCAGATATATTGGACAATGATGAAGGGATGGCTCCGGTGAAGTGATTACTACCCAAGCCAAAAAGTTTCATCTTGGGGAACTTGTTGCCGACATCATTCGGGATGCTTCCGTGCAACATGTTATATCCCACCTCAAATAATTCTAGTGATGACAAGTTGTAGAGAGAAGGCGGGAACATACCAGAGAGGTTGTTTTCAGCGAGCATGAATTTCTCCATGTTCTGCAAGCTTCCGAGCCCCGGTGGGATCGAGCCCACGAGATGGTTACGGGAGAGATCAAGGTACCGTAGATGTGACAAATTGGCAAGCGACACAGGGATGAGCCCTGTGAAGCTGTTATTGGCCAGTGAGATCACTACCAAGGACGTGAGCTTCTCGCCGAGCTCAGCAGCTATGGGTCCGCCAAGCTTGTTGTTGTCCAGTCCCATTATGGTCATGCTGACGCATGAGCTCAAGTTGGCAGGGATTGTGCCGGAGAAGGAGTTGTCGCCCAAGTAGAGCCTCTGCAGGCGGCGGAGGCGGCCGAGGCTTGCTGGAATGTCCCCGTGGAGCGAGTTGAAGCTCAAGTTGAGCATCCGCAGGAACGTGAGGTTCCCGATGACCAAGGAAAGTTCTCCAGCGAGCCCGGTGCCGTTCAATCTCAGCGCCACCACCCGTGCAGGCCTCCGATGGCTGCATGTCACGCCTTCCCAGCTGCAGAAGTTGGCGCTGTTGTTCCAGGAGTCGAGCGAGCCGCCGTCGTTGACCTGCGCTTTGAAAGCAAGCAACACGGCCTCGTCGCTAGCGGTCACCATGGCGCCCATCAGGACAGGTAGCAATGAGCATAGCAAACCCATGGCTCCCATTGCGATTTCCATACCCCTCTTGGTTATCTTGGTTTGGTTGGCAAGTAGTAGCAGTAGCCTGCAATGCTGCTATATATGCTTTGGTCTTGAATGACTGCCTTGTGAGAGCTGCTAGTATTGGGCTAATATTCGAACGTCTAAATTGCTATTTATGTCCTTCCCCTTTTCTTCCCTAGAAATTAATTTAGAGTTATCCTCTTTTCACAACTTGGCAATGACTAGATCTCAAGCCACAGACCTTTCCAAAGGCGTCGCCCACCCGTCGGCAATGGCTGAGAATGCTAATCCACACACCAAATATGGTTTTAGTCGGTAAGTATAATCCCGTTTCAAAGTTGGTTAATGCTATATCCCTTTGGCAACAGGAGTTTGCTAAGCGAATTTGAAGCTATTGGGTGCGTGTGTGGCATCAGGATTCAGAGCGAATCAATTTCTTATTTGGTTGAGATACTTGCTTCGTTGTATTTCAGAATTGAGCCAGCTGCTGTGGCCTTGTAACTTTTCTAGAAGCTTTAAGCCGAAACTGAATGGTGTAGTAGCTTTAAGTTTATACTGAATTTCTTAGGTGTATTTGAAGGGTTAACTGAGTTGTTGCTCTAACCTTGTAATGTCTGTTAGCTGCTGTCCTTACAAGGGATGAGAGATGCACTTGATGCTCTGGTATGGTAGTCGCACGGCAAGCGTTGCCACACGGAGGAGGCAGATCCTAGACGATCTGGCTTAGTTTTGTTGGATATCTTCTACTCCCTCTGTTCCTAAATATAAGTCTTTTTAGAGATTCCACAACAAACTACATGCGGATGTATATAGACATATTTTAGAGTGTAGATTCATTCATTTTACTTCGTACGTAGTCCATAGTGGAATCTCTAAAAAGACTTATATTTAGAAACGTTGGAAGTAGTTAGGTAGCTTCATGTTGCTTTCCCACCAGTTGGATGGGGAATCCCCTCACCATCTGATCTCCTCTCCTAGACCTCATCATATCATCTTTCATACTGACCACACCTTAGCTATTGTGCCAGAACAAGGATACATATAATTCCAATAGAGAATAAAATTAGTGCTGGAATTTGCAGCCAAGTGGTTTAGGAATACATGACCAGGATGGATGTATGCAGCCTTGGCCTAGGAATGCAATGTTCTGAAAGATGCTAAGCTCGAATTGAAATAGAGACGGCAACTAGCGACCCCTAGTTGGACAAATGACACACTAGTGGCAATTGGAGAATGAGACTGCTAATTGGCATAACACAGCCACTCTGCCAGACGTGGTGGAAGTCTTTCGTCCCGGAAACAAGTACCGGAGAAATCTGAGGCACAAACAAAAGAAACTTCACGGCGCAAACCACGAGTTGATTAGAAAATACCACCATAATTAAGGGCAGGGTTTCGAAAAACCACCGGTTTATCTTTAAAAGCGCAGGTGCAAGTTTGAAAAATATCGAATCAACCAAAAATTGGATATGTCCAACAAAGTAGCCTATATGGCCCAATTTAATTATCCGAATAAGCTCAAATTAAATTGTATTCGGAATTAAACCGATTAACACTCGGTGAACGGGCAACTTGTTTACTACTCCCACCATCCCAGAATGTAAGAGCGTTTTTGATACTGAACGCTCTTATATTATGGAACAGATGAGATAATTTAGTAAAACTAATAATTAAAAGTAGACAAATAATATCTCCGATGCGCTGGGCTTGGGACGGTGTGGGGCGTTCGACGACTATGTGAGCCGACTTCTAATTTCGACTCCCCTGCTTCACTTTCGCGTCCTTGTGCGTGTGATTGTGAATCTCGTGCGTGACGACAGAAGGCCACCAGGGGCAGCTGGGCGGCGTCGGCTGCTGCTTAGGCGGCGTCATGTGCGTGACTGGTTGTGTGCAAAGTGTTGGGATATCCTCCTCATGTGGGCTGTGAGGAGATGACCATTTGAGGCCTATTAGGCAGCCCAAAGAGGTGCAGAAGCCCACTACCCATTAGGGTTATGACTTAGGGTCATTTTGAACTTTGCACATGAGTGGATGGGGATGCTTTACCCTCCATCCAGCAGCCACCATCAAGGGTGACGAAAATCAGTTCATCCTCCAAGATAGAAGAAGAGAGAAAACCAAGAGAGCAAGGGAAGAAGAGGAAGATTGAAGGAAGAAGCAAAGGGAGGTCCTCCCCAAGGTTGTGATGGTCCAGATCCACCACCGTGCCTCATTCAAGCTTCAGTTCCACCATCTTTGGTGAGATTGCTCCAATCCCTAGTTCTTGAGCCCCAAATCTTGTTGTGTTCATCCAAGATTCAGAAATCTTGATGTATGAGATCCTCTAGTGCTGTCTAGAGAAGAACTTGTTGTATCCCACATTTGATAATAGTGGAAGAGGATTTGGGTGGCTTCGGCCCGTGGTTTTTCCCCTCAAGTTGGGGGGGTTTTCCACGTAAAATCTGGTGTCTCTTTGTTGATGCTTTGTGTTGTCCAGAAACTTACTCCTACCACAAGACACTTGGCTTAGGAGTGTCTTGCCTGCTGAATAACATTTTCTGCCTCCATATATGCTGCTGCATATGTTTCCTTCCGTGCTAAGCAATGATTCTTGAATTAGTACATGATGTGGTGCTGAGATTACTTGTTTCCACTACAGTTATCAGTTAACTACAAGTGCATTTGTGTGCTAATTCCTAACACGAAGCACCTCGACAAGAGGCGGGCGCGGTTGAGGCCTCTTTAGAGCAAGTCGGAGCCGAGAGGATATGAGAGCGAAGAGAAGTGAGCTATAGACGGGTTGTAAGGCTTACAATCTATTTAGAGCAAGTCGGAGCCGAGAGAATATGAGAGCGAAGAGAAGTGGGCTATAGACGGGTTGTAAGGCTTACAATCTATTTAGAGCAAGTCGGAACGGGTTGTAAGGCTTTAAATATTATTATTTTTGTCAAGTCAAAGCAGAGAGAATACGAGAGAGAAGAGAAGTGGGCTATAGATTAACAGCTACTTGTAGCATGTGCTCCTAGAGACTTTGTGAGAGAGTGGGATCGGTCTTGTATCAATAAAATACTACATATTTATATCTAACTATTATCTTTGCCGGCTACAAGTTTGACTATAGATGATGTGACAAAATCATATAAGCAAGAGTTGAATATACTATTAACCATTCTCTTACTGGGCTGAATCGTAGATCGAAATAGTAGTATTACAATATAATTTTGTTTTTACCGGGATAGGCTTCATGGGTGCAACAAAATAATTTTTTCAAATAGCATGGATCCGACCATTGATGACGGCATTCTAGCACCAACTTCCCACCTTTCTGAAAATAAAAATCACCAACTCCTCAAGCACAGATCTAATTCATAAGAGGTTGTCAATTTCTGCACCGGACATGATCATTGGTGAAACAAGGCTATGTATGCGCTGCAGGGTGTCGATCCGCCCTCTGCATTCGACGCATAAGGCATCTCCAGTGGTAACTTGTTTTACCATCGCCTCATTTGTCCGTTTCCTCATAAACTGGAAGCACACTGGTAGTGTGTGTGTTGGGCGGGGCCATGCACGCGTCTGATAAGCTGGTCCCATCGAAAAACCTCGCCTACGCCCGCGCAAATTCCTATCTGAAGCGGTTGTCCCGCCCTCACGCGTTCTAGTGCACCGGCACGGTACTGATGTTATCCCAGAGGGGACATTATCTCTCATTGATGCCGGCATTGAACTGGCCCGCCGTCCGAAAGTGTCGCTCGCACTGCCTCCTGTGTGTCTGTGTCTGTTCAATGCCAGAGAGACGTTGCTGGACCTCACGGGGGATCTCTTTTTTAAGTTGAACGGGATTGATATCTACCACATTCAAACGGGTTGCCCATCCCTCCACCGGCCGTAATTAAACTGGCATTGCCGGTCGAGAAACCAAGTCCGGCGCCCTCACTGAGATACCCCACTGCTTGGCTTTCGTCATTCGCTACTTAAACAAGGCCACTCATGGGATAAACCGTACGACAACACGACCGCTCATGACCAACATATTATGGGAGAGCCTCAATGATGCATATAGATTCCAATAGAGATGAAATTCGTGTTGGAATTTAGAGCCAAGTGGTTTAGGAATACATGACCAGGATGGATACAGCAATGTCTTGAAAACGAGACGGCAACCGGCAACCACTAGTTGGACAAGTGCTCCACTAGGGACACTTGGAGATTGAGACTGTTAATTTGTACGACATGGCCAATTTTTTGACGTGTAAAAGATAAAACAGAGGAGCTCTCGAGTCTGGACCTCTTTGTCTTGCTCTCAATTCTCCTTATTACCATGAATGACGGAGACGGCAGCGGAGCTGGCGGCCTGTTATGGTGGAACTAGGGTTCGTAGAGGATTTGAATTTGATGGGGGAACTGATAAAACAGAGGAGTAGCTAGAAACATGCATGAAACAAAGGAGTAAGGACGACTTACTGTTGTTCATTCATCCATACGTACAGTAAAGTAGGGTGGATTAATGAAACTTAGGAGGAAACTTAAACATGACAGCACATGCTGTATTTTTCATATTTTTTGCTGTTGCTCCTTTTATTGAACTAACTAGCCTACTCTTATGTAAATCCACATATCACCAGCCTCTGAAACAATTGATGTGGTCTGGATATTATAAATCCACCAGACAGAAACAAACTGTATGTGAAGAAGTCTGTAGAGCATCAAGATCTACAGAACGACACTGCTGTACCAGAAACTACATACTCCCTTTGTTTTGTTATTTTTCCGCCATATATGAAATACATTGTTAGAGCCAGAAGAAGATGGTGCATGCTGAAATCTGAGATGGGCTCTAGGCCCATATTGCAATTTCTGGAAAATCTCTAGGGGCCCATGTGGGTTATATGGCACTAGGTGTGGTGGGAAGTTTAGTCCCACCCCGAAAGTGGAAGAAGAGTTGGAGTGGTTTATAAGGGTTTCTCTTCTACATGCTATTGGAGCTTGAGAAGAGAAGAGGCCCTCGCGCGCTCCTCCGCCGCCCG